TCACAGCTGCGATGGCTTGGGCATGTGTTGCGAATGCCTCCAGAAAGGAAGGCTAGGCAACTGTTTCTTGCGAATCCGACCGGCAAAAGGCTCATGGGACGGCCAAGATTAGCCAAGCGCAAATATATATAGAGGGAGTCTGTTCTAGACTCCAGTTGTCTTCTGCCGAATCTCAGACTTTGGCTCAGGATCTGGAACGTTGTAAGCTCTGTTTGACGCGCCTGTCTCCACGACCCGAAAAGGAGAAACGGCGATGCAAGTTGATGATGGTGATAATTCAGCCGCTTGATTTATCGTTAATAAACCTTTTAAGTTAAAATTGCATTTCAGATGAGAGAAGTGGATGATGACTGTAATTAAAGAGTATAGTAAATCGGAAAAGATTAAAACTATGTCATTTGAAGAAATGTGCAGGTGGGTCCTCGATAATTGGCAAGAGGATGTTACGGTATCTTGTGTTAAAATTGGTTTTTTAAGAGCATTAGGCGATGTACATGATATTGCACAATACATTGCCAGAAACTGCTGACGAAGGATTAATTTTAGATAACGAATTGAGTGGTGATGTTATTAAAGAAATTATAAATGTACCTGATTCATTTTATATTGATTCACATGAAGAGTTTTATGGTTGTAAGTGACTTTATTGTAATATGTATGTACAATAAATGGTATTTTACATTTTATTTTGATCTTATTTTATTTTATTAACCGTTATATTCTTTGATATTGCAGTATGTACATAGTTACAGACTAATTTATTTTGACGATCACGCAGTTTAGAATGACCGCATATATTGATAACTTGAAAAGATTTGGAATTTTCTGTTTTTCATGGCGTAGCCCTCACGTTTTTTTACGTTGACTGGGCTTTTTGTATAGATAAAGCGCGCATTATCGATTTGAGAATACGGTGCTACAATGCGACACGGTTACAGTAAAAACTGATTTATGATACGTTGACATTTTTTGTAGGCTTCGACAAACCGTGAATATGCGAGAGCATCTGTTGACATTGTCAAGACAACTGTGTGGCTTTTCTTGCGTTCCCTTCGGACGGTTTGGTAATTTTATCAGTTCTTGTAAAAATTATACAGGCCATTACCGTAACGTCAGCTTATGGAAGCGGTTTGCAAATTTTTGAAAATGTTACGTACAGAGTTGTCAGGAGAGACTTGCAATATCAGATTTCGTAACTGAGCGAATGCGACATCCTCATATCTTGAAGTCCATTACAGGACATAGATCTTGTGCTGTAACCATGGAGCGAACACAATCTTTATAGCTCGTATGATGCTAATTTACGTTCGTTTCTGATTCAGAATAGGGCAGTTCGAGATGGCCTCGACCGCTGGCCGCTCCTTGTCTCGGTTGAGAAGTCACAATTGCGATAGTTTATACATATGATGAAGAGGTCTCTGGCGGGAATGCTGAGGTGACCGTTTTTCTCAAAAACACAGAAAAACCGCTCAGTGCAGCTGCGTATCATATGGTTTGACCTGTAGAATATCTGGCATCGTCATAGCCTAAATGCGGGCCACTCAGGTTGCCCTCTCGGCCGCAGAATGAGGCTATCAGGTAGGCCTGAAACACAGCACTTGCAATCCAATAGAAATAGCGCGCTTCATAAAACAACGAATTGGTTCCAGATGTCATATTTCCAAAGTCTGAATTTGCTCTCTGTCCCATGAATCATTTTCCCACGTTCGTAAAGTAACAAACATGGGGGTTTCGATTTGTTTTTTTTTTCGAAAATTCAAAACTGCTTGGCCACAATCCTCTCGCTTCAGCCTGAAATCAAAATGTTCTTTTCCAATAAAGGCGATTGCCAACCTTAATTACCATTGCCTCGATGACTTAATGTTTCAGAATTCATCTTCTTTTATGACAGCTTCTCCTTGCCGGTAACGAAGGCAAACATGTCACAGTGCTTCCGAGTTCCCGATCCTGTGCCACGGTCTGAGCTTCGAATATGGCAGGTAGTCGAATGCTATGGTGATGGTAATGGTAATCTATCAGATTAGGAATGCAGCAGTATTTGTTTGGCAAATTGTGGTCTTTGCTGCTGTTTGCTCTCCGATATTCATTTTCACCTCGCTGAAGAGAGCATCCGTGCTATTCTAAACGTCCATCCTCCAGGAATCATGTTGCTTTTGGTACCTCCATCCATAGAATCCAGGAAGTTTCTCCTGGATGATGCCGTTAATCTCTGAACAGATTATGAGCGTTCATTAGTTGGGCTGAAATGAGATCGAGGACTTATTCGATGATGGAGATCAGGAGATAGAGAGGAACGACTTTTTCCACGTTACCAGACAGAATATTATGAGGCAAAACGCTTTTTAAAATAACGTACTACGTTGAATGGTTTGTGGCATTTGCCGTTGAACTTATTGTTGTTAACATCTATGCTATTCAATTATGGATTAGCGCTCCGTTTGCTTTGCAGAGTTTTCTCGTTGCATCCGATTATTCTCCAGTGGTTTGTCGGAAACCGAGGACGCTGAGGAAAAGAAAACTGAGTTAAATGTGGCGCGAGAGCAGTGTGGAATCATGTTCGAAAAATCGACGTTTCCGCACGTATTTCGGTACTTTTTTATACTATTAACAATTGAATGCTGGCATTTGTTGATCCTTTTAGTTTTTTTGTCTAGGCTGTGAAATTCAAGTTTGCCTTGCTTTGTTTCAGTTGGAGTCGCTTTGACTTAGCGCAGCACTCTCTGTAGAGTGTAGCCACTCTCTTCCTTGCAACTTATCCGTTATCTGACTTTTTCTCGTTATGGGGCGCCCTGAACACAAGTCGAAGCTCTTTCAGCATGCTTTATTCACTACCTTCTAGCTTCACTGCTGACCAAGTAATCTCACTGTCGAACTGTCCCAGCGTGTTCTTGGACAACCGACTGGACGTTTGTCCAACAGAACTCAGTTTGTAATTCCTAACGTCCGCCGGTTGTCTGTCTAGCGAACCATATGGCCAGCGCATCTTCTGTCGTTGTAGAAGGCAGAAACCACGTCTGTTAATGCCGTCCGTTGTCGAATTTTTGCGCTCGGCTTATACCCTTTAGAGGCACTTTGCACGCATTTCGCTCCGTCACTCTTTATATTGCAGTCACTTTATTCTCCTCAGGTTTAGCAGCAGATTGCGTTCAGCTCCGTAGATCATGGCGGGTAGCACACTTGAATCTAACAGTTCTTTCTTTACACTGTCAGTCGTCAATCTCTGCAACTTTCTTGTCATTGCCCGAATGAATAATCGTCAGGTTCAGTGCTGATATCTAGATTTTTCATTATCTGTAGACATATCACGCTGATTAACATATTATTTGCCGAGATGCAAGGGTTGACCTAAGAAATTTAAAAATGAGCAAATGAAATGATATGGCATTTGAGAAAATTCAGCGTAGCCGTTTAAATTCGAGCGTATTCATTGCCGCCAACCGAAATGGTGATTAAAGCGATAAACATTCTTATTTATCCCGTTTTAGGCAAATGTTCCCTGATTTTCTGCCGTGGCCCAATTTTAAATACAGAAATAAGCTAAGCGAGAAACTGGAACGATTGGACATGCTTCGCAGACGTCAGAAGATCAACATTCCGGAATTTTACGTCGGTACCGTGAATCTTTCTTTATCTACCGTTTCCAGTTAACTTGATTTTAGGCTCTATCTTGCGCGTAACAACTTCTGATCCTTATGCACCTCGGCGAGTGAATACGTTTGTGGGTATTTGTATACAAAGAGATGAAGTAGGCCTGAGACATTATTTCACTCTACGAAACTACATAGATGGAGAAGGTAAAATTTGTGCCGCTGAGGTAATCCGAGATAACATGCTTGATACTGAACTTCGTATAAAACATGTTCTTATTGATTTATAATAAATCTTTCGGCTACTTCCCTTATTTTTTCTCACCCTATTCTTAATTCGCTCGTAGTTGTTTCGAATGAGTCGCGTTCTCTCTCAGTATGAAAGAGTAAAAATTTGTTGGCCATCTTTCTGCAGTTTAAAATTTTTTTGACCAAGCTGAAACAGGAGTCGATGTTTCAGAACCATAGCTGCCGAACGCAGTTTAAAATTATTACGGATGGTTCTGCAGACTGAAGGCTTAAAATTTGGTAGCTTCAGAATCGTGGGCCATATCAAATTTCGTAGTTTTCAGAATTGCTAACAATAGAACAGTTTGCCGTCTTGATGAATTAGTTGTTCATGTGTCGTCATGTCACTCTCGTCATATCGTTCATGTCACTCCAGCTTCTGTTCGTGGGGTAGGCAAAAAATTTCCATTATAGCCACACTGGTGATAAACAGGAAACGGTAATCCCTGACCCGTTCGTACTATGAACTTAGATTGTTTGTTCTTATTCAGATCAGAATAATGTTTCGACTGTCTGCTTTGTATCATCAGAAGACCCAGGTGTTAGACTTGGATTGAATAAGTAATGTTATAGTATGATAAAATTCCCGAAACTTTTGCAGCTATTCTCAGTAGGCTGTAGCTACTGTCTTCCATCACTGCTAATCATTTTTGTAAGCTTAAGGCAACGTAGTTAAAAAATTAATAATTCGAAAGACACTAACATGCATCAGTGTAACAGATTGTTTTGTACGAAGGGAATAATCAGAAGATGCCGTATCGTCTGAGCGAGTGCTTCTCATTAACACTGATTTCCAGAATTTCCCGGTAGATTTTAAGCGTTAGTGTCGACTTGTCGCAGATGTAGGTGATGAAGGCAATGCAGTTCTTTTTGTGAATCAGTTGTTTGCCAGGCGCTCACAACAGCTGTTGCGACGGATCAGGAGACTTAGTTTAGTCGACAGTACTGAAACATGGCAGCGAAGATATCTACTGGCAACAAACTAAGCACGATTCGAGGGATCGACCGCAAATTCGTACCAAAATAGATTTTGAACGTTACAGGAGTGAGCATCTGACTGCCTTGGTAGCCTACTTCTTTTAGTTTTAGAGCGAAAATCATTCATTGTTCCTGGCGCGTTTTGAGCCACTCATTTGCGACACCTTCGTTAAAGTACAAAAATTAAAGCAATTAGTCATAACTATAAAAATTAATAAACACAAGGCAAGCCCGCCCAGTTGACTTCATGAACTAGTTCTTGCCAACCCCCATTTTCTACAAATTGGGTTATTCATTGTACAGATAATTCTTGTTAGCTGAGATTTGAAAGGATTAATTACCATTATCAACTTTTGAACCAGGAATCGAAATGTCTTTTCGCTGACTAATGATGAGGTAAAATAATTGTATTATTGAAATTTTCTTTCATCCTTTTCTGTTACAGGTGTCGTTTAGGGCCGCTGCAACGGTTCTTCACTGAGGTGTATCTAGTACTGAGACATACTAATCGTTAGCGGTAGAGTTTATCGATATATGAAAATATCTGACTGCTGATCACCCCGTCACTGACTCTCTCCCCACGATGAATTTTGACGTAAGCGGCTTAGTATCATGTATAATATCCTCTGTTTTCCTCAGTTCGGTGAGCGAATATTGCACTCTGCTTCACTAATTCATTCGAAAGCTTTACATTTGTTTAGCATGTAATCATCATTGAAAAGAACACGCTAGTTGTCTGCCTTAATATTAATCCTCACTTGACTTTTAGGTTTCGAAGTAAAATACGAAATGTATAGCCCGCTTATCCAAAAAATTGAAGTTCTGAAACTAGAAAAACGTTTGGATGATGAACTGCTTTATTTGCGCGATTGTCCCCCTGAATATTCAGCGGTGCCTTTGAACATGGATCCTGTTCCCTGCCCAGTAGGCACTGTTCCACTTAATACGGCGAAGGTGTGTTCGATGCATGAGTCAGCATCGCTTATGTTCACTTTAATAATCTTTGTTGTTTAGGTAAAACTCAAGTTTCCCCCTTGGAACAAAAGATGGGAACTTCGTGATGTGAAGGGAATTGAAGAGTTTTGGAATTTGGTGACGCCATATTACAAGAAACGTTTTCGCCAGGTACATTTGTTTTTCCATTTTTCTGACTCCTTATTCCGACAGTCGTTTTAAGGCAGTTTTTGAGCACCACAGAAAGTACGACATCGTAGATCAGTACCGCAAAAGCATTCCGCTTGAGGATCTGCAAGAAATCGTTGAGGATATCAAGGAATTTGAAAAACATATTAAAATCGAGCCACGAAGCCGTCATGTGCCCATTTCCACTTTACTTGTAGCTGCCGCAAGAAAAGCCAAACACACTTAGGCTGCGGATCAGTTAGTGTTCTGAACGGTCATAGTGGACTATGGTTCGAGCACAAGACTAGGTTCTTTCTCAGCAATTGCTTAATGGTTGCCTTGTTATTTTTTGCCTAGTTTGTACTGCATTTCATGCGATTAAAAGCATTTTTAATAACATCACAAATTCATGGTAGGTCTACGTCACAGTAAACTGGCCATGTTTTGCTGCAGTGGTAGTTTGATCGTACTCGACAAACTACCTCGAAAGTTTACTGATAGCGTTCTTCTTCAGGACCAAAATTTAGTAATGCACGGTAGATTTCCGTGTATCCGGAAAGTCACCGACTGGAAAATTCACCGACCTGCAATTCGTCGAAGGGAAAATTCAGCGACTTTACAGTTGATCCCTGTTGATTTATTTATGATTATCATAAAACAGTGTTATTTAGAAAACATATTTGAAAGATCATGTTAATGAGCAGAATAATTACCATAATATTACCTACTCATACAAAATCAAATTTTATCTAATGCATTTATTTAGAAATAGCATATTTGAAAGATTAGTTAATGAGCACAACAATTATCATGCTTCATCTCTATATAAAGCCTCAGAAAATTCAAAGCGGTCAGTTTCAAAAAGTTTTTTGAGTGTGATACTTCAGCTACGAATTTTCATTAACCATCAAGCCATTTCAGTTCGTTACCAGTGAAAAGGAAAAACAGAAACGTTGAGTAGACCGTCACTTGTTTTTCGAAGAAAAACAGGCGAACAAGACACAGTGGAAGCGTGAGATGCATCAGAAGCACAAGTGCCGGGTTCATGTAATAACAGTTGGAGATGCCATTGAGGCATTGAAGGGAGTTCACAACCACATTGGGGATATAGCTAATATAAAAGCTTTGAAGATGGGAGGATATCGTACGTGATCATGCAATAAATAGCCAAGAAGCACCCCAATATATCTAATGCGGCTGTGGGGCTTAGCCAAGAGGATGCAGGACATATTGCGAAGAACAGTATTAAAAGAACGATCCGAAGCATCAGAATAAGGAAACAAACAGTTCCAGCTTTGCCTATGACCCGAGGGGAAATTGTTTCCCGAGGAGTACAAGATGTCTAAAGAAAGTGAATCGCTCTTGCTGTTTGATTCAGGACCGACGGAAGCAGAATTGCTATATTTTCCACTAAAAGAAATCTCCACTTACTGGCCTCATCTGAACGTTGGTTTGGGGACGGAACTTCTAAAACAGTGCCTCATTTGTTTTACCAACTCTACACATTCCATGGTATGCAGGTAGAGTTAATTCCGCTTGGATTGTTCAATTCCAAGTGGATAGAACAATATGTGAGTAGCCATGCGCATAATATAGGGATTGCGCTGAGACTTCAGAGTGGTTGCGAATTATGACAGAAGCAATGTTTTAGTTTTTGAGAGGTATGGCACATAATATAAATTACTAATTGGGTACTGCAGTAACAACATATTTTTTGTGTAAAGGTTTCAGAATTTTTTTCCATTAAATGATTTCAACGAAGTCTGTTTTATTCGAAATTTACAGGTTCCTACATCATTATCATTTCAGGCAAATTATTTCAAAATCAGTACATTTGAATTTTTTAGAAATATTGACAATACTTTATGATATGAAATGACTGATTTTTTATGTTTCATGGTTTTTAATAAATAAATCATCGACGATCAATTGTCAAATCGGTGAATTTTCCTTTCGACGAAATGCTGATCAGTGAACTTTCCTAGATCCAGATTTCCGCACAGCAGTGCAGGTTCAACGACTTCGTAGAATACTTTCCACGTCTTTGATGTATCATGTGAACCGCTGCAGTCATTACATAGTCACGTTGCTTTTTATTCATTATAGTTATTAATGCTAGTTTTTTCATAGAGATTGATCTTACTTCTCTCACGGTCGGCGTCCGAAACATTCTTATGTACTAGCTGATAGTTACTTTTATATATGGACAACGAAACCAGTGCTCACGATGTTTCATGGCAATGACTCTTCTTCATTTGCCCAAGTTTTACGTGCCCTGTTTTTCCAGTTCACATTTACAGGATAAACGACATTCCTAGACAACATCAGATATACTATCCTCTTTAAAGAACCTAAAGTTAGAAATTTATACCCTAATTCTAGAGAAACTTTCAGATTTGTTTTTAAGGTCCAGGGATAAAAGGATTAGTGACATTTATTAAAGGATAGTTTAAGGGTGCGTGAGATTTATGCATGTAATGTACGAGCCCGCTGTATAGAGAAAAAATACATTAGCTTTACACGTTAGCAGGACATCAAGAAAGACAACTGGGGGCTGTATTTTTGTTTCGGCGGGGAATATTAAATCATTAAGACAAAAATGGATTCATTTATTTACAGCATGGCCAAAATATACAATTAAATTTACATTAGGAGAGCAAAACTCTAACGCTCTTGTTTTAGAATGATTTATATCAGTTAAGCTAATGTAGCACTAACTGGACCCCACCTGAACTCCGTGCTCTTGACTGTGAACGGTAATATCTATGCTTAAAAAATTTAGTTAAAACTGTCACCAACGATAAGATATAGACAGGATGAAGCTCGCTGAATGGCTGGTCGGCGTTGCACTATTTCTTTTCCGTGTTACTAGACGCAAGCGTATTATAACTTCTACAACATTCACGCAATGTCATTTAAAGCCTTTAGTCATCTGTACTTCGCAAACTTGAGGCTAGTCAGTACTTCTCAATCTAGGAGGAAAACGCTCAAAATCTGCTTTGCTCCTCTGCCGTGGGGGTTATGATCTTTGGCACCGAGTTTATGGTACGGCTCTGATGTTCGTTTCGATAGTATTATCGAAGAGTAGCACTAGATTGCAAGGTAATACGACCTCAGCAAAGGTAGTGACCGTTAATACATGAATTTCTTGTTTATTTCCAATGAAATGATACCCATTTATTTACTTCTAAAGGCAAGTAACTTAGCAGTGAATCGAACCGAAACTTTTCAATGGCGCGCCCAGTGGTCCACTGACTGAGCTACAAATTCAATGAAAGGATATTAAGATCTTGTTGAAGGCTACATTTTAACGACAGGTCAGAATGCGGAACTTGTTTATGAAAATAATTCTATTTCCTCGTTTCACATTGAATTAGTCATAGATCTTTGGCCATTCTTTGTTCTCATTTTAAATGACAATGACATAAGGAAGTTCGATAGCCAGTTTCATAAAAGTGCAGCCATGCTCCACATGAGGTTATTCAAGTTCTACTGACCTTATATGACGGTGACCAATGCCTAAAATTCCTCTTCGGAGAAACTTATTTAGCGTTGTGCGTTTCAGTGACGACAACAGAAAACTACTGTGATCGTCTGCACAGTAAGCACTAGTATGCTCGGAAATACGTTTAAAGGACTTTTCAGTTAGTTCCTGATATATACCTTCTGAGAAATGCTGTGTCTGCTACTGCCATTTCAGATCAACTTGTTTTGAACAGTTGCAGGAGCAAGTGATAAGAAATTATCAAGAAATACAAAAAATCCTACGAAAATGTATCCTTTTCGTTGTGACCTCTTCATGATACATGCAAGGCAGTTAGTAACCCTTTCTTCTAGACGTTTAATCAGTTTTGAAGACAGATTTGTATTCTGAGATAAGAGAAAATTGTTTTTCCTACCGCTGTCTTTTAGCCCATCGTTATGCGGGTCATAACTATCCAGATCGTTCAAAAGAACGTTTTTATGAAGGGTTCTCCATCTTCATCTTCCATCGCCGCTTCTCCTTTCGGGTCGCGGTTGTCCATTCGGTCATAATTAAACGAGATAACACATCGAATTAAAATTTTTAACATACAAAATTTTCAAATCATTACGTATCAATCAAAATGGTTCATTCGCGTTTATTTGGCATCGACTCTGACTCTGATAATTTATATAAGGCACCGAAGACATGTGACGAAAACAGTTCCAACATGAATGAATTAACTCCTGACAGAAAAACAGCAGTATGTGACAGACTTAAACTAAGTATTGTTGGCAACAAAACAATGAGGCAGAGCGAAAACATTAACTTTTAGGGCTGAACTAATATCTGCCTTTCCGGAAACGAACGATGTTTTAAAGTGGGATGTTACCATGTTTCTTCCATGGATTTGTCTGTTTCTTCGTCGAAAGCAGGTCCAAATCACGACAAATTCGAGCGCGAGTTGTCCTCGGTTCAATTATATCATCAATATAAGCTGAAAAGGTACGTCATGAATGCTAATACAGCTGCAGGACATTTAAATAACGGTAAAACTTATCAAACAAGTGCATTCCGAACAAGAAATTTTTAACAGGCAAAGGAGACGTTACCTCTTACTGCTGCAGGAAATGGATTGCTGAACAATTCGACATATTCATCTTCCTTCTTTTCGACATCTTTTTCTCCACGGAAAAGAATCTTAACGGCACCTTTCGCACCCATAACAGCAACTTCAGCCGTTGGCCATGCATAATTGACATCGCCTCTCAAATGCTTGCTGCTCATCACGCAATAGGCACCACCGTAAGCCTGGAACATACTCAGCTCAGCATGCGCTGACCACTTTACAGAAGCAGCGCGAGAAAGTTTTACCTTGCGAGTGATAACCGTGATTTTTGGTACTGTAGCCTCGGAATAAGCATAGATTAATTTTGCTCCGTGACGAATAATTCCTCCGTATTCCTGTGCAGTTCCTTAAGCGAACTGATTAAATTAAATTACACGATAAAAAGGAAAATACCTGGCAAAAATCCAGGAACGTCCACAAGTGTTATCAGCGGAATATTGAAACAGTCGCAATACCGAACAAACCGCGCCCCTTTCACAGAAGAATTGATGTCCAAACAGCCTATAATTTTACATAATGTGCAATAGCTAGAACCATTTGGGCAGCTTAATAGCTGCATCAAAGCACAAGAACAAAATAATTTATTCAGCGTTGCAACATTATTTAATGTGCAAGCACCCTGATTCGAATTTGACATCCTAGATTTGCACAAAAAGCTCTCATTTCACTGCAGCCAGTTTCAAGTCGCGAATAAAAAAGAATGAAATGATTTCAGATCAGGAATTAACAAAATCCCCGTAAACCAGACCGCCGTCTAATATATCAGCGGTTCTCAGTGAATGTCCGCTATGCATATCTAATATGCTACCCAGAAGCGCTGAAATGCGAATGTTTTGTCATGATCATCGTTTTCTGCTTTGCAAGACTGCAGACAGCTTAATATTTATGATGTCCGCTCATCTCAATGAGATGCTGACTTCTGCCTTGCATTGAAACTGTCCAATGAGCCAAACCACTAGTGCCCATCTGCTTTAGAACTTAATTCATCAAAAGATTAAACCAGTCTTAAACTTGCCCTTTCCAGTGGTACTACTATTAACCTGCTTATTTGGCTGCTACCAGAACCATGGAATACCAGTTGAAACTTCGACATCTTCCCAAGATACAGTGATCCTATCGATATGTTTTCACTTATCTTGTCAGTGATCGAAATACAGAATACCTGGCAGCGAAGCATGGCCCCATGTTAAAAATTATGGATGAAAAATGAAGGCGGGGATTTTAAAGAGGTCGTTGTAAACCGAACTTTGTTTAATCGCAATCCTGGCTGTTTCGCGATTGACATACCTTACTGAAATTTATTGAATAAAATTAGTTCTGAGAACATTTAACTGTCTTTACACATCAAGAATTACGATCAAAGGACGAAGAAAACAGGCATTATTAAGCACCATCTTACTGTTCTTATTTTCATTAACTATTTTGCGGATTTGTCGAAATGAAGTTCGCAGCCCATCGGTACTAATAAATTAACTTGAAAATATCAATGACTATCTAAACATTGATTAAACAATATCACTCATTTTCGTCATCTTCCATGACCGCTTCTGCTTTCCGATCGAGGTAGCAGATTCATCAGACAGTGCTTCCAACGTTGCTGATCCTGTGCCAGCAACTGAGCTTTGGAAGAAGACAACCGAATTTATGTTGACGTTTACAACCACGTTAATCTTGGCTGTCCCATGGGCCTTTTGCTGGTCGGCTGGGCAAAGAACAGTTGCTTCGCCTTTCTTTCTGGGGGCATGTGCAACAGCTGCCCAAACCATCGCAGCTGTGACTTTTCAATCTGGAGAAGCAGCGGCTGTACCTCAAGGTTCTCGCGGTTTCGGACCAAATCGAGACGCTTAAGGCTAGCGACTCGTCTCATCCATTTTTCGCTGCTTAAAATTGACAGTGCAAGACAATAATGAACACAAAGCTTGTGGTTCTGAGTTAGCACAACCACTGAGTTTGTGGTTCTAAACACAAACAGAGTCTACTTCATGTTATTCACTACTGACCAATATGAATAAATTATTTTACGGTACTATTAAACTTTTGCATTTCAATCTATTTTACACAGGACATTTTCAAAAAGTAGCGGTTCCTGTGACGTGTATTGTAAGTCGATCGGTCCACTGTTTTGTATTTAGACGGATGAGATCGAAACGCGGCTTGCATTGAGTAGCTGCACTCACCTGTGCACCACATGCTTCACTCTCATCATGCTCCCGCTGATAGTTAACCTCGCTACATCGGCTGCTAACAAGCTGAACTCTCCATTCTGAGTCAGGACGTTTGCTCTCCAAAGGCCTGTTTCGCCAACCACTGGAGCAAGACATCTGAGACTGGTTTTTCATGCGAAATGTAGTTTTTCATTCCGTATAAAGCGCGCTTTGTCAATATTGTTATGCTTTTCGCTAATATGATCAACTCGTTGAGATAATAGTTTTGTGCCATCTTAGGAACCAAGGTGAATACGCTCATACTTTACATAACTGTTTCCATTCTGTGTAAATATTATGATTACTAAGAAATGTCAGGAAATCATTAATGCCACTATGTATTTTCATGCATTTTCAAATATTCATACGTAAATAATTCTAACGGGTAAACTTCGGAAAGGTATGCCTAAATAGCGACAGTGTGATAAAATAAACTATCCATGGTCAGAAATTGTACTCGCATAAAGGATATAAACCGCTCACCTGCTGCCACTTTTGGGTTATTAGCAACAATTCCGACGGTTCTACCGTTCATTCGCGCGAAACCGACGACGATACTTTTTGCATCATATGGACGGATTTCAAAAAACTCGCCCTCGTCTACCAACTGCGATTG